TTAGATTGCTGACATTGTTTTCATGGAAACCAAATAAATTGGTGCCACTTCCTGGGTTTAAAAGATAGGTTCATCTGGTGTGTATTTCATGTAGTCTTTTTTTTTTTTTTCCCCAAAAAAATATATTTTTGTGGTTACTTTGCTTTAGACACCAGCTAGCAATATTTTAGACCAATACTCTTTTTCTGTGCCATGTTTTGTTTATAAAAGATAACTCATCTGCTTTACTTCAGAAGACCACACGAGGAGTTTCAATAGACTCTTGTCCTGTAGGTAAATCACCATTCTGTGCTGTCATCCTGTCTATGTGGAAAGAGAGGATTACATAAAACTCACAGATATTTCACTGTACAGACATGAGCAAGTCTAGTTAAAATAAATGCAGTGTTGTAAGGGATTTTGTCATTGTAAAATCAAGTCCCTTCATAAGAATGTGATTTAGTTGTGTTTTCTTGTAAATCGCTTGTGTGTTCATGATAAAATGACTTGGCTTGGCTTCCTCCTGTAAGGATCACAAGACTCCAGGAGGCACACAAGCTGTTTTGAATCAAACCTTTCTGAAAATGGAATACTTGACAGTTATGAATAAAGTTATTTAACAGTCAACTTCCTGTGGTTTACATGCATTTCTGAATCAGGAGGCGGCTGAAGGGCTGCAGCTGAGATGTGTATGCTCCATCTGAACAAAAAAGGGCATCTTCTACAAGCAGTCAGAGTGATTGCTTAGAATCTGATAGGATTTATTTTAATATTGTATTAAAAGAGCAGAAGCACAGTCACCAAACACAGGAAGATCCCTGAAGCTAATGTGTTGGCCACTCCCTCTGTGTTAGTGTGTGTTTAAGAAGTTTGCTTTATTGCAGTATATCAACATGGGTATGAGAAATGGGCTGGAGACAGCATTTGAGTTTGTCACTGTTGGCATCTTTGGGCCAGTGCTTTAAGTAGAAGGAAGTGGGCAAGCAGGCAAGGAAGGCTCAGTGGTGTGGTTCCTGCAGGGTAACCCATCATCCTTACAACTCCACACTTCAGGAGTTTGCAGTTCAGAGCTGCTCAGCTGTAAAAATGACTTTAAAGGATTCACCTGCATTAAAAAAAAACTCCAAAAGTTTACCTATGACTAATTTAAGACCTTCACTTCACTATATATTTTTTTTAACTAGATCTTTAATTTAAATTTCCATTGTATGTGCTCACAGAACGTGAGTGTGAAGACAAGGGGAATATCATGGGGATCTATAGAGTTTATTTAATGAGGGCAGATCCTGCAGTTTCCAGTCTTGTGTTGATTTTTGTCTTTAACGTGGCTCCTTTTTGGCATGATGTCAGCAGGTTGATTGCTGCACCAGCCACGTGGTAGGGGCTGGACGTGGTCAGCCACACTGGAGTTAGTGGAGCAGAGCGGGGGAAACCCAGTTTCTTTTTTCTAGTCATCTCGGGTAAACCCCAGAGTTTACAGTTTGTCTAAAGGGAAATTTTAGAATGCAGCCATTTAAATATAGCCACTGTCATTAATTTATAGAGTGAGGTCTAGTTCTGTATCTGGTATCAAGAAAAAATAGCCTAACACAGAAGCTGCCTTGGGAGCTGTTGTACAGAACTGTGAAGAGATCAATTTCTCACTGAGTTTCAACAATTCCTGGTGTTAAGGCTTTCCTTGATTGTTGTGTGGTGGGTTTTTAAGTGGGTTTCTCTTCATTATTGCATAAAAAACATAGGTTCACCCTGTTGGAAGAGGATCGGAAGTCTTGCTTGGTTGCTTTGTAATGCCACCTTTTTGAAGCTGGTTTAAAATGGGTCAAAACTCTTCAGTTCTACAGTGGTGTATTCTGATAACAATCTGGTAGTCGCAGTAGTTTGCTGTTCACAAGTGTCTGTAGTTAGCAGAGCTCAGCCTGCTAATACAAAGGTGTCCAGGTCAGACAGAAAATTACCTCTAGTCAAGGCAGTGGCTTGTAGCTGTGTGAGATGCAGATGTGTCTGGAATGTGATGGAAGAACAGCTGATGAATTTGTAGCTGAATGAAATAAGTTCCTGAGTATAAAAAGGATTCTAAAGCTACTGGAAAGTGTCCAGAGGAGGGACAGTAAATTGGTGAAGGGTTTAGAGGGGAAGGGTATGAGGAGAGGCTGAATTCGCTGGGTTTGTTCAGCCTGGAGAAGAGGAGACTGAGAGGAGATCTCATGGGGGTCTAGAACTTCCTCCCAAGGGGAAGAGGAGGGGCAGGCGCTGATCTCTTCTCTCTGGCCACCAACCAATGCCAGGAGCAGAGGACATGGCAGGAAGATGTGGCAGGGGAGGGTGAGGTTGGCCATGAGGAAAAGGTTCTTGAGGCAGAGGGTGGTGGAGCACTGGAACAGGCTCCCCAGGGAGGTGCTCATGGCACCAAGCCTGACAAGATTCCAGCAGCATTTGGCCAAGGCCCTCAGGGACATGGTGTGAATGTTGGGCTTGTCCTGTGCAGGGACAGGAGTTGGACTTCATCATCCTTGTGGGTCCTTCCAACTCACAATGTTTGATTCTATGATAAAAGCCAATGGCTGAACAATTTTTACCCTTAAGTACAGAGTCGAGTCATGTTGACAGCACTTGCTTGGTGTGTCCTATTAATTGTTTGAATAGATTTTCATAAGGGAAGATCCCAGTGACTGAGCTGAAGATGTGGAGGAGGGAAACTGGTTATGTCACTGCTTTATTAACCGTTTCATGCTTGTAACCGATTGCTTTTTAATCTCCTGAGTTTCAGAATGGCCACCTTGATGTTTGTCTGCCATTGATTTTGACACGTGACAGCCTAGAAGGCTCAGCAGTTTTCTCAGTGTGCTTTCTGGTCCTTACTTTACTGTTGGATGTGCTGCTCTGGAGCGTTGCTGTTGATTCAGGCTGATGTATTTTTTGCATTCATGTTTTCAGGAAATCCCTTCTTTTGGAAAAGCTCCTTCTGGGGGTGTTTGGTGACCTTACTTGTGCCTTACTTGTCTGCTCCAGCTGCTCAATCCATTCCAGTAGCAATGGGACTTAAAGGGGAGGTAGTTACTCATGCATTCCAGTACTGTGGAGTTAATGCTTCTTTAGGGAGTAGGTATTGCCCTAAGTAGCATAAAAAAGTGCTGTCTAAGATGAAAATGTATGTATGCATGCACACACATACTGACAGCCTCTGAGGCCCAGAATTAGTCTAGAATAAATACCTCCACTTAATGAGTCTGAAATCTGGCTGATTTCTACCTGCTCCTGTAGGGAAGGGAGGATTGCCAGCTCCTACTAGGACCTAATTAAGAAATTAAATCTGACCTTAAACTTTATTTTGTCTTAACATTCAGCTACAGACAGTGGTTTTAATACTTGGAAGGCTTGAATTCTGATCCTGTTACTCCTGCTTGGGAAGTTTGATGGATTTGTGCATCAAGGTTGTGTATTTTTATTTTCTGTGAAATAGGAATGCTCTTCCCCCTACACTTTTCTTAACAGGACTGAGGTTAGAATGGATTTCTGACGTGCTGAAAAAGATGTAGGTGTAAAATATTGCTGTCATTGCAAGCAGTTGCTGCTGTATGCCACCAGGTTTTAAAATGGTTAGTGTTACCCAGGAGAAAATTGGTAATGTGAAGGCAAAGAGAAA